GAGTAAATAATGAAATTTTTTAGCAAAAAATTGTAAAAATAATCCGTACAAACATCAATTAACAGTAAACGGGGGGGGGGGGGGGGGCGACAAGTCTTTACTTAATACTTGCAATTATCAACTTAAAGATTTAGGAATAGGCTTCAAAGGGGATAAACTCATATTAACGAGAAACATAATAAACAAAATTAGTTTAGTAAAAGATACGCCTAATAAGCATTTAAAATTCAAAAAGCATTAAATAAAGCATATAAAAATCAAGAGAAAATAGATGAAACTTTAGAAGAAGAAACAAATTTAATTTCATCTGTGTAAAACAGTTAAGAAAACTTTATATCTTCTCCAAATGCAAAAAACAAGATCTATAACTTGATTTGATCTAGTCTGGTATTTTTTTTAAATATCTATTTTATATCTAAATATCTAAAAAAAAATTTAAATATCTCTAGATTTAAATATTTAAACGATGCTCTGTGATAAGACTGTTATGTCTTCTTAGAGCCACTAAAACAAAAGTTAAAAAAGAATTAAAAAATTATTTTAAATCTGTTAAGGAAAAACTTTATACACAAAAAAAAAAATGGAAGAAATTCTTTTAAATTTAGCAAAATATGAAAAAATTAAACGTATAGAAAATAATAACTCGTTGTACCCACTGATCTCTATAATAACTGGAGAGCGCATCTCCTAATAAAATTTCGAAATTTTTGAAGCCAAAAGACGCCATATTGGAAAGCCCCAGAATTTATAAATGCGTAGTTGCGTAAAACATAAGTGCGCTTAAAACACAGATTTCGCTTGATAAATAAAAAATACAAAAACCTTATAAATGCATTGATTATTAAAAACAGAGTAAATTTGATGTTATATGTTCAGATATTTCACCCTGTATACATAATTTATATATATATATATATATATATATATATATATATATATATATATATATATATATATATATATATATATATATAATATATATAAATTATGTATACAGGGTGGCCAGCCACTTTCAACAATTAAGTTCCCTGACTTTTTGTCTTTTTACCTGACTCAGATATATTTTAAAGTGTGAATTTTTAAGTTTTGTTTTTAAGTTTTAACTCCTTTATAGCGATATTTCTCTTCGTCGTTAATGTTTTGCGTGTTTTTGATTCCCTTTTATAATTTTTACACCTTCAAACATTTTAAATATAATAATATTATTGAAATATGTGACTTGGTCGAGTAGATGTAAACGAAGTAAAAAGGTACATCTTCAAGCGCAATCACTGTATTTTCGGTATTCTGGGGCTTTCCAATATGGCGGCCGTACAAAAAATTGGCTTCACTTTTGATAATAGAGATGCGCTATCCAATTATTATAGAGATCAGTGGTTGTACCTTAGTACCTCAGTATGTGGAAAATCCACAAGGAATGCTAACGTATCGGCCACTTATAGCTAATTTTCTAAGAGGCGCCCGTCTATTGTCTATTTCCTGTCTATTATCTATTTTCTGTAATGCCATCGTCAATAATAAAAGCAGTTAGAAAGAGCATCAATGAGTTTCTGAACACCGCAAGATCAATCCACTCCGGAGCTATATTTAATTACAAAAAACTGAAATGTGTCTTTCTTTCACCAAAGAAAGCAACGTAATAAGCATCGGACCTCGAGAAGATGTCCTTCAATTTGAAATCTTAAAGGAGTTAAAATTATGTTTGAAAAAGATCTTATGTGGAACAAAATCTATCTTATCAAAGCAATAAGAAAACAACGCAGCAGTCGAGCATCTTTAGAGAACAACCCCTGGTAGAGAACCAGAAAAAAATTTGGCCAGTTCAAGCTTTTGTGAGGACTGTCTACTACAAAAAATATAAAACTATTTGCTTTTTAACTAACGAAGGGTGTGCTTGGGATGAAACAGCCATCTTATTCGCAGTGAGAAAAAACCCAGAAAGAAATGGTTTGCTTTCTTTACTCTACAGGTTATCAGTGGGACAGGTATACATGCGTGGCAGTTAATGATGGTGTACATAGGGAAATTAAAAAATGGCTTAATAAAGTGGCATTACTTCTAAATTTTATTGTATATCAGAGTTAATTGATGAAGGTAAACACACACCTTATTGCAGTGGCAAAGCTAAGGTTTCTGGCGCTCAGGGCAATGCTGAAAATAGGCAAGAGCAATGCTGAAATTCTTTGAGATAATTTTCCAACATTTCCTTATCAGATGCTGTATCTTTAAAGTTAATTGTGGGATTTGTAGTCGTTTTTGAACGCGGTCTACTTTTCCAAGAATATTGTTCCAGAAATGAATGTTCCAGATATAAAACAATGAAATTAAATTTCAGAATACTTTGAAGTAAAGTTCCAGCTTCATTTCTTGCATCCATCATCTGGCATATGTCATCTGATAGACTTTCAAGAAGTTCAACCAATTCAGTGACTCCTTCAGAAATTGCTTTAACAGCTTTTGCTTTTACACTCCATCTGGTTTCTGTTTCCCGTTTAACAGTAATCTTAACAGCATTTTTCAATTGCTCCTATCGCGTCGAGTCGAACGAGAAAAAAACAGATAAATGCTTTTAACTGTTCCAAAAATGGTAAAGACTATAGGATCTACTTTAGCAGCATAAACTCCAATCAAGTTCAAACTATGGTTATCACAGTTCACAAAAAATGCTCGAGATTTTCGGTTACATATTCGTTGTTGAAGCCCAGAGATATGTCCTGTCATCAAAGCAGCGTTGTTGTAACATTGGGATCTAGTGGTAGGTTTTCCGATTAAAGTTTCTCAGTAATTAATTAAAAAACAGTTTCAAGAATTGCTGCATCTTTGGCATAGATTTCAATTTATCCAAGAATTGACTTCTAATCACAACATTCTTGGTAACAAAATGTCAACAAATCTTATTACTTCGGATAACTGCTCTTGATATTCCAGATCAGAAGTCAAATCAATTAAAATACCAAAATGTTTACTTATTTTGATACTGGTGAGGAGCTTATCTCTAACAGTACAGGCAAGTAGGTTTTTTTTTTGTAATTATTTAGGTGCTCCCAGAAGACCTTACGATCTTATCTCAGAGCACCGCGGGATATGAACTCATTTTGAATGTCTAGAGACAGATAAGAAACGGACCCTGAATTTTCTTTAGCATGCTGTAGATGGTTTGCAGAGAATGTCATATGGTGAGAAGGTCATACTCAGCAAGGAGTTTCAAAAAGGCAAGAAAGTTTCTAATATTGGCTCCTTCATCAGCATACCTAAGTTTTTCTCTATGACCACGTAAAGTCAAGTTCTGAGATGCAAGAACTTCTTGCATCTCAGAACTTGACTTTACGTGGTCATAGAGAAATTCTATCTTAAAAAGAAAGAATTCTTTTTAAGATATTTTTCCAGTGTTGCTTTTAATATTCCATTTGGGCTTCGAGTTTTAAATCTATTCCTTTTCTATAAATTATTCTTCGTTCAGTTTCTTTCCATATAGTAAATGATTTGCGGTGACAGAGACACTTCTCGTGATCTTTTAATCGTTCTGTGTGCCTCTAGTTAGTGAATCCACCAAATGATTCAAAGGAAGATTGTGAATTTGAGCTGGAAGTTGGAAATAGTAAACAATAGAAACGATAAGCTGCTTCGTTAACTGGTGAATATAATAACCACGAACAACCCACTTCATCACCATTAGCAAGTCGTCGTTAGGCGAGCTATGATCCAGTTCTAAGATTTCGCGACATGATAGGTCGCTGTGTTGTTTGGTCAAATTTTGAAAAGCCAACACCAAGAAATGACAATACAGCCGGAATAGAAAAATCTTCCACCATTTCTTCATTTTTACCTTCACTGTCATCACTAGGATCCGGATTGCGGGTATCTTCATCTCCTTAATCCATTGAATCTCCTTCGTATTCCGCAAACAATTGATAACTTCCTTCATCTCTGCTGTCATCTTCTGATTTTTATTCAGCATGCTTCAGTATGTTGCCGTGTTTTAAAATCGTTGTAAATTAAAGATTGAATTCGCGGAGTCGAACTCGTTTACATTTATCATACATTGATGGTCTTAACTGCTTTAAAAAATATATATATTCTATGTATAGAAGACGCGTTCGACTCCGAGATTTCCGCCTTTATTCTTTTAGTCACGTTTATTGTTTAGACGTGGACAATATTGCTGTACAACAATTTAAGAGTTGAAATTTTATCATTTTAGAATATGTAAACTTTCAAAATTAAATAACTCAGTTTTAGTGTGATATTAACACTTACCTTTTGCATTGATAATTTTAGTTTAGCTGAAATGTTTATACTTCATATTGATTTATATTGAAATATTTATATTAAAAACTCATAAGTTTCGCCGTAATTTTAGGTTGAGTTTCTATTACTAATACATAATGCTATTTCGAACGCGTTCGAGTTAGCATTACGTTTTAGTAATAGAAATTCAACTAATTTTAAAATTAGCTTCAATAATTTGGGCTTGCTCCTCAACGGATATTAATCGAATTTTTTAAAATAATTTCATCAGCTGTGTTTTCAGCCATTCTCTTTATCTTTTATTTTTGTTATGAATAGCATTAAGCTCCTTATTTTTTCAAATTACTATTTTGACGACCTCGCTTTTGTTGGTTAGCAGACGTTAACATAACTCCAAAGTAGGTCGATGTTTTCGGTGGCCGTTAACTTTTTTATTTGTTCGAGAATGCAAAACAGCAAATAATTGCACGAGGAAACGTAATATTAAATACTAAGGATTATTATTAAAGCAAACAAAAACAAAGATTATGGATTTATCTATGAGACTTATCGATGAGAAGAACATGCCAAAATGTTCATGTAATGATTGGTTTAAATCTTCCTATCTATGCAAACACTTTTTTATAATTTTTAGAAAGTACCCACTAACATGGGGATGGGAGTCTATATCGTCTTTATATAGAAGTTCTCCATTTTTAAATATTGACACATTCACTAATGATTTTGTATTAAGTAAATCAAATATAATCAAG